TTTTAAAGTGAACAGTTTTCTTGGGCCTGGAGAGATGGCTCCATGGTTAAGAGCAGTTGCTACTTTTGTAGAGGAGCCAGGTTCAGTGCCCAGCAGCCATGTGGCAGCCTACAACCATCTGTAACTTGAGTTCCAGGGGCTCTGACGCCCTCTTCTGGCCTCCACAGGTACTAGGCATGTACATGCATATATATACATGCAGGCAAACACTCATACACATGAAAATTTAGAAGTCTTAAATTGTTTTGGGGGCTGGAGAGAGGGCTCCGTGATTAAGAGCACTGACTGCTCTTGTAGAGGACCCAGGTTGGATTCCTAGCACCCTTATGGCACCTATGAACAGTCCTTAACTCCAGTTCCAGGGGAATCCGAAGCCCTCTTCTGACCTCTACGGCATTGCACGACATGGGTGCACTCACATACATGCAGGCAATACACTCATACACATAAAATAAAAATAATAAATTATTAAAAAAATGTGTTTTCTTAAAGGTTCCTATCTGTCCATCTACTATACTTGTAACAATTAATTCTAGAAGGAAGTTAACTGCAGAATTCAAGTATTTTTCAATAAAACAATTCTTAAGCTGTGGGGGTCAGAAGACAATTTGTGGTAGTTGGTTCTCCTACCACATGGGTTCTAGGGATCAAACTCTGACTTCTTGGCAAGCACCCTTACGTGCTGAGCCATCTTGCTGGCTCCCACAGTTCTTTTTTTATAGGCTCAGCCCCACAGTACTTTTCTATTTGGGGTTTGTTTGGGCTGGACTAGAACTATATAGACCAGGCTGGCCTCAAACTGAAGAGATCTATCATCCTCTGCCTCCCGAGTGCTAGGATTAAAGGTGTGTGCCACCATGCTGGCACTTCACAGTTCTTACTACGTAGAAAAATCAGTATACCTGCTTACCTTTCACTTTCGTCAAAACAACCCCCCTCTGGGATTGTTGGCAGCTCCGGGACACTGTAGTAGCTGTTGTGGAGGTTTTGGGCTGTGCGCCTTGAAACAATCCAAACCAGCTTCTTAAGATCTGGTTTGCAACATTCTGGAGAAGAATACTCAGCTAGACATTTAGAAACTAATTCCCTCCAGTAATAGAATTCAGTGTCATTAATCTGGGGATAAAAATAAATGAAGACATTATAGCAATGGTTCTCAAATTTTGCTGCTCCTTGGAATCACAAGATTATCTGTCAAGAGTATTGGTGGCAGGTGTTCTGATTTAACTGTTAAGAGTCTGACCTGGTGTTACTTCTTTTTGTTTTTTGTTTTTAGACAGGGTCTCCTATATGATGTAAACAAGGCTGGCCTCCATCTCTGAGATCTGTCTGCCTCTGCCTTCCAAGTGCTGGGATTAAAGGCATGCACCACCATGCCAGGTGTTGGTGTTAAGTCTTTAAAATCCCACATACTGTTGTAGTGTTCAGCCAAAATAGAGCTGGCCTAGTAACTGTTAACAAAGCAATAGTCAAGTATACTCATCAGTAGTCCCAAAGGGTTGTTACAGAAATTGATTTTTTTCTGTATTTAAAAAAAAAAAAAAAAAAAAAAAACCCTTTCTAAAAGCACTGTTTGAACTGCTGATAATATGCACTTAAATTATGGCATCAGACACAAATTAAAGTGAACTATAATGATACTTCCACCACAAAAGAAAGCTTTTGTTTATTTGACAAAGTCTCACTTGGTGGAGGAGGCCCTAACTCATTACGTGGCCCATGATGCCCTCCATCCCAAAATCTTCCAGTCTCAGCCTCCCCAGCGCAGGGATAACAAGCGTGTGCCATCACACCTGACCTAAAACTGCACTCTTTCCAACCACCTTGGCCTCAATTGCCACTAAGTCTACCTACATCTTAAGCCCTCATGGCTTGGCCCTACTTCTCTCAGTAGTGACAGCTCTATGCCCTCCTTCAATTTTCATTATACTAGCCTTCTCATCAAAACTCAAGATCCTTGGTCATCTTCTTTTTAAAAAACTTATTATCAGGCACAGTCACACACATGTAATGGTTGGAGGACAACTTTGTGGAATTAGTTCTCTCCTTTCGCCATGGGTTCTAGATTTTGAACTCAGATGACCAGGCTTGAGTACCAAATGCTTTCAACTGCTGAGCCATCTTACCACTCTAGTGCCCTTCTTAAAAGCCTGTTTCCAACTCATTTTTCTGAGTATCCTTCATTT